TACTAGCGCGTCGGAGGTGCAGGCCATGAACAGGTGCATGGACAGCCCTGCTTAATGGATGGCCCACCTCAAAGGCTGGTGATGCTTTGGTGAGAAACACCAGACTTCCCACACACCAGTCATTCGGCTTCTGCTGGTACAATTTTTGCTCTATCTTTGTACCACCTGTACTGCTAACTCCTTGCTTGTATTTAAATTTACTTTTTATTTAAAAATCTACTTTTCTTTCTTTGTTACTTTTGTGTTATTCTGGATCTGCTTTTTAACTTTTATTTACTTATCTTAATTCTTATAATCATGAGTTTGAAATGTTATTTATACTTTTCTAATTGTATTAAAATAGATACTATTTTAACAATAGGACTGTTTATTTATTAGATTACTATTTGTTTAATAGATGATTGTTCTAATACAGAATATTCACCTGTGGACCTCTGGGTATCCTCTTGTACACTGCTCGTGGTATGCACATCAAGCTCTGCAAAACAGTGGCCAGATGGTCACAGTGGATTAATTTATAGCTTGACCTGATTTTGTATAGTATATCCTTGGATGTTGACACTAAAGCCTTGGGACTCTCATTTTTTTAATTTATTTTTTTTATTTTTTTAGATTTTTATTTATTTATTTGACAGAAATCACAAGGAGGCAGAGAGAGGGAGAAGCAGGCTTCCTGCCGAGCAGAGTCCGATGCAGGGCTCGATCCCAGGACCCTGAGATCATGACCCGAGCTGAAGGCAGAGGCTTAAACCTCTGAGCCACCCAGGCTCCCCACTTGGGACTCTCATTTTTTCAGTAACTTTGCATTCAGCAGAATTCACACGTTGGAAGGGCCTCGTGAGGATACTTCTCCTGCTCGAGATCAGATAGCACAAACAGCTGTAATGGTCTCCTCATGTCTGGAAGGTCTCCTTGGAAGGGCTTGACGTGCTCTCGGCTGAGTAGTGCTCCTGTGCCCAGTTATTTTAGCTCCGGCCTGTGTCCACAAACTGCTGGCCATCTCTGAGTTCTGAGGCAGTATTCCCAAGGGATATGTGACCCTGAACGTGTGGAGGAATGAGAGCAAATACTGCACTCACTCCCAAATAATTGACCCAAAGCCTATGTTGCATTAATAGTTGGCCAGGAGTCAGAATGGTGACAGTGTAGCAGAACCACAGAGGCTCCCTCCCCAACACCTGATGAACTGATCCAAAACATTCAACAACAGCAACCAACCAAACAAAAAATCCAATCACAACTTTGATGCCATGTACTTTGAAAAATGGCAGGCCCTTTCCAAAGGAAGAAAACACCCCATCCTGAACCTTCAGAAGGAGTCCTAGGAAAAGAAGGGAGGGAAGGGTACAAAATCCTCAGGACCCCACTAAATCAGATTGGTATGAAAGAAGCTGGTGGAGGAGGTGAGTGGACGATCTTGGTCGATGTCAGGAGACATTGTCAGCAGAGGCTGGAAGGCAACCCAGGGCAGGCCATCTCTGTGCTGAGCTACAGGAAAGAGACCGCAGGAGTGCGTGCACCCTGGCTAGGCAGAACAGGTGCCAGCATGAGACATTTCCTTGGTTTCCAAAAGAGAGCAGCACACTGGACCCCCAACCAGGGCAGGCCTAGTGTGTCCTGCCTTTCCTCTGTGGCAGAACACTACGTAAAAAGCATCAGCCAAGCACAAATTGTAGCTCAGAGGGAGAGAGTGTTAGAGATACGTTGGCTTACTATAAAAGAGCAACAGAAGCTCTAGATAGAGATGCTCATGTTAAATGTGAGCAAGATGAAGGTAAGTGTCATGACAGCTATGTGAAAATGCTACAGCAGAATAAAGAAAGGAACATGGATTGCAGAAACAGACATACAACCAGCTGGGCCCGAGCAGAAACCCAGTGCAAGAAAACTCAGCCTCACAAGTATTTTGTGCTGTCAGAGAGCTCAGGATCAATTCAGTGGAAATAAAAACTCAATGTAGTTATGACAAGACAACAATGAGATTTTTTTAAATTTTCATTTTTAATTGTGATAAAACATAACATGAAACTTGCCATCTTTTCCATTTTGGGGAGTACAGTTCAGTAGTGTTAAGTACATTCACATTATGCAGCCGACCTCCAGAACTCCTCTCATGTTGCAGAACTGACTGCCCATTAAACAATTCCCCATTCCCCCCACGCTCTCCCCCGGTAACCACCGTTCTTTCCATCTCAGTGAATTTCAGTAGCACAGGTACTTCGTAGGAATGAGATCATAGAGGACTTGTTCTTTGGTGACTGGCTTATTTCACTTGGCATAATGTCTTCAAGTCTTACCCATGTTGTAGCTTGAGACAGAATGTCTTCCCTTTTAAGACTGAATAATATTCTAATGTATGATCTACCACATTTTGTTTCTCCTTCCATTCCTTGATACACACTCGGTTGCTTCTACTTTTTGGCTACTGGGAACAAAGCTGCTATGAAGATGGGTGTATAAATATCTCTTTGACTCACTGCTTTCAGTCCTTTTGGGTGTATGACCCAGGAGTAGAACTGCTAGATTGTATGATATCCCATGTTTTGTTGTTTAAGGAACCATTGCACTCTTTTCCGTAGCAGCTGTGCCATTTTATATCCTCACCAATACATGTTATTTTGGTGGGGTTTTTGTTTGTTTGTTTTTGTTTTTGTTGTTGTTGTTTTGTTTTTGACAATAGCCATCCTAGTGGAAATGAGGTTGAATGGGATTTTTAAAATACACGTTGACGAGGGGTACCTGGGTAGCCCACTCAGTTAAGTGTCCAGCTCTTGATTTCAGCTCAGGTCATGATGTCAGGGTTGTGAGATCGGGGTCTGTGTTGGTCTCTGCACTGGGCATGGAGCCTGCTTGAGATTGTCTCTCCCTCTCTCTGTCCCCTCACCCCTGCTTGTGTGCATACATTCTCTTTCTCGCTCTCTAAAACAAAAAAAAAAAAAAAACAGAGAAAGAGAAAGTATATAGGCAAGAAATGATATAGGAAAGAAATGAGGAAAGGAAGAAGAAATACCAAGCATTAATGTAAAAATATATAGTTTACCTCTTAAATTTTCATATATTTTTTTCTCAGCGTTAAATCTTGTGTGTGTCTATATGTGTTGCTGTTGTTGGTTAAATAGTTAACTATAGGTCAAAAAGCCATTTAGTTTTCACTTCTGTTTCTTTTTTATTTTTTCTGTTAAATTCAAGCAAAATTAAATAACCCTTATGAGAAAAAAACCAATAATATAGTATATATGCTTGAAGAATTATCCAGAGTAATGTTCACCAACTCTAAGTGGTGGGTTATTGGAGGACTTGCTTTCTCCTTTGTACTTTTTTATGTGGCTTGAATTTTTTTTAATGAGCCCACATGTTTATGAAAGTGCCCATAGTTTTATAAAAGCCATAAAATTGTTACCATTAATATAAAATATTGGTCCGTAGTATCATCAGTATTCTAGTTGGGTCTTAATCATTTAAAAAAATTACAGTCTTGTCTTGACAAACACCAGAAAGACAAACTTTTGCAACTCGTGCCTCAGATATTGGCAACTGCCTTGGGGCGAAAGGCATGTGCAGTGGAAAACATTAGCTATTCTAATAGGATGCTTTTTGACTTCTTATTGAATTCATAAATCTAAACAATGAGCTGGTGAGTGTGAAGTGGGATTGACTCGGATTCCCGTGATGCTGGTGACAGAAAGCATGGTACAAGTGTAGTGCGGTTTGTTGTGCACATGGCTGAATGAGGAATATGAAAACCGCACTTCTGGTTCGGTCCTAACCGATACGCAGCACCAGAATTTTGGACGTTTGGAGTGCTTCTCACTCTCTGCACTTCCTTATGCTAAACTTCTTTCTTTTCTTGAATTTGCCATGGTCTCCTGCCTCCAGGCCTTTGCACAGGCAATTTCCTCTCCTCAGGGCACACTTCCTTTCCCTTTATTGGGTTCTTTCTCATGTTCAGGGCTTAGTTTTAGCCTCCTTCCTCTAGAAGGCCTTCTGCATTATAACTGATGGTACTTCTTCCTTGATATGCCTGGCAGTCTATAGTCACTCACTTGGTGTCAGAGTTCCACCGCAGCCTGGCCTGGGGGTGACTAGGATCTCGGAAGGGCAAAGTCCGGTTCTCCCATTGCTCTTCCATAGCACAAGTTTTGTTTTTTCCTCTGGGCTCCACCAGGGTGGTAACTCTCCTCAAGCTACCTTGTGGCCTCTGAGTTTTCTTTTTTTCTCAGCAGGCCTCTTCGGTTCTGCTTCTGTTGGAAACTGCAACTTTTCTTGGAAACATTCAAGTTTATCAGGAGAGAGTAGCTGTTTTGTTTAGCCCGTTTCCCTCCAGCACTAGCCATTCCTGCAGGAGAGGGTATCACTCCTGCACCCACAGGCCTGTGCCAGAGGGAACTGGGGCCCAGCCTGGCATTCTTAATTCCCTCTGAACACCCTGCTTGGCCTCTCTGGTAAAAGAGATGGAGGGAAGAAAGCCTGTTATAAAGCTGTGTGTGCTGTGAAATCCTAAACTTATGTTTTACATATAAAAGACCAAAAAGAAAGGTCAAATCAGGGGGTGCCTGGGTGGCTCCGGTGGGTTAAGGTCTCTGCCTTTGGCTTGGGTCATGATCCCAGGATCCTGGGATCGAGCCCCACATCGGGCTCTCTGCTCAGCAGGGAGCCTGCTTCCCTTCCACTCTCTGCCTACTTGTGATCTCTGTCTGTCAAATAAATAGACAAAAATATTTGGGAAAAAAAAAAGGTCAAATCATTATCAGTGGGTTTCTCTGATGGGATTTCTAGTTATTTTTATTTTCCTGTTTTCACCCTTTCTGTAATAAACATTTTCATAGACGCTAAATGGTATTTTGTAAGCTCCTATATGTGACCTTTGACTGAGCAGCCCCCAAGAAAACTAGGGAAAGTTGGCCCTGCCTGATGAAGCTTAGTGCTGTTCTAGTCACTTTTTTCATTTGTGCCCCCATCTGATGTGTTTGCTCTTTCCCCCATGTCTGTCTTTTCTCCAGATGACCAGATGACTGGCATCCCTCCACACATCCTCAACAGCTCCCCATCAGACCGGCAGATCAACCAGCTGGCGCAGAGGCTGGGCCCCGAGTGGGAGCCTGTGGTGCTGTCTCTGGGCCTGTCCCAGACGGATATCTACCGCTGTAAGGCCAACCACCCCCACAACGTGCAGTCACAGATGGTGGAGGCCTTCATTCGCTGGCGTCAGCGCAATGGGAAGCAGGCCACCTTCCGGAGCCTGCACAGAGGCCTCCAGGCCGTGGAGGTGGACCCCTCAGTGCTCCAGCACATGTTGGAATGATGGGGTCTCCCGGCACCATCCCATGGGGGAGTGTGTCCCCAAGTTGCATGGGCGGAATCCTGACTTTCTCCCAGGGCAGGTAGTTTCTGGGCTTTCCAGGGGTGGGGGTAGGAGTGGGGCGGGGGGGTGGGGGGGCGTCTTTTCTTTTTAATGATCTGTAAATGAAAGGAGAAAATGAGATTTCCAGTTGGTTACTTGAAAGGCCAGATTACTCAGTAGCTCTACCACATCAACTTGACAATTCATTGTTTTTAATGTCTTGAAGATTGCGTTGTTTTAATTGTGCAGGTTTTAATTGTGTGAGTGCCTTTTAATAAACTGGTAAATCATAATGGCTCAAAAAAATTATTGTCTTATCATATTACATGCAGATATCCTATAGATAGATAGATAGAGATATCTGTCTATATCTATCTATATCTATATATAACATCTACTTTGATATTGCCTGGGAACTGAACTGTGGACTTTGCTATTAACAATGATAATAAAAAGTGAATTACTGTACAGAATGTGGCCTTTCATGAGACAGTATTATTTGTTTTTTCTCATTCCTGTAGTGCATAGATTAAGGGTGTAAAATTACAGTAGTCCTTTTTTTAGAACAGAATTACTAGTAGTAACAAAATGGTTACTTTCTCCAGTCAGGATAAATCGCTCAGAGGGGATGTCTGCATTAAATTTAAGACACTGAAGCTCCCTGTAAGGCCAGTTCAGGTACGAGCGTGCATCCCTGAGCCCTTCATCTTTGAGAGATTGCTTAAGAAAATCCTGTGTTTAAAGGATTTAGTTGGGGGACAAAAGAAGGTGCGGTCTTTCCGTTGACGTTGTAGTGATTAAAGTGTTAGGCTCCCAAGGAGTATGACTTAGTCTTCTGTCTTTTTATTAATAACACATGGTATTTTTTGACAAATGCTTTCCTGTTTTCAATCAAGGGTTTTCATATATGTGATCTCATTTGGGCCTCACAAAAATGCTATGAAGTAGCTGGTCAAGAGAGGTGAGCCTCCTTCTGTAGTGAGATTAAGTGATTTGCTGGCAGTGAATGAGCTATAAAATGTGTCTTTGGAGCTCTGCTCTTTCCACCTGGTCCCTGCTGCTTCTCCTCCTCTCTCTCCCGTGCTCCTCAAAGAAACTTGAATCCCGTTCTCCTCCTGTTAACAGCATCGCTGTGGACAAACTGCCCCTCTTCTCTGACCCTGTACAAAAGAGGAAATGATTGTCCTCTCCTCCTAGATTTTTGTGATAATTAAGGGAATGACGTCTGCCAGGGTCTCATCCAGTGCCTGGCCCTTAGTCAGCTCTCAGAAGTGGGAACTGTTGGCTTGCTGCTGTGGCTGCATACGTATCAAGTTCACAGGCAGAGCTGGTTAGTGGCTAGAGTGAGGGCCCTGCGGGAGGAAGCACTGGGACCGTGTTTCCTGCTGAGCTTTAACATGTGATGTAATTTACTAACTGTACCGTGGGTCCAATCAAGAGTGGGACAGGCGAACAGCCCCAATCCGTGATCTATTCTTCTGAATAATTGGGGAATCTATTTCCTAATGCTAACCTAACTCGGGATTTTTTTCAAAGGGAAAACATTGTACTTTTTACCTTTATTCCGGGACAAGTATATAGAACGGCTGAGTTGAACATGACGTGAGTGCTCCAAAAGGTGACAGTGATATGTCGATCACATCCTTGTAGATGTCTGGCAACCATATTCCCTTTACTAAAAAAGATCAATTACAGGTCAACAAACAGTTCAAAAGGATGGTCTGCTGGCCTCATCAGCTCTAATTTTCCATTTTGCAGCCCAGCCATTAATTCATTGTCTTGTAAAATTCTCGTAGACTTTGGCCCCATGACTGCACTAGTGATAGACTAGACTGTACTTCTGTGGCATCTTCCACACTGCCTGTCATTATGAATCCTGGACTTGTTACTTTGCTATTTGTTCCCCTGAGCTTGCTAACAGAGAGTTGCTTTGGCTTTTGTTCTCACCGCATTTATTGCCAAGGGCATATGGCTGGGCTCTGCTGCCTCTGACTAGACGGCATTTCAGAAACGGGTCTGATGATTAGCTAGTTCATCTTCCCACCGTTTGCTTGGAAGCGGAATCCGTCATGCACAAAGACACTTCGGTGCTCTGTCCATCACTGGCTGCCAGGGCCGGTAGAGATCTCTGACTTGCTGCCCTTGATGAGCAGGGTGTCTCCCCCATCACATGGCAGCCGCAGCTGCTGGGCCTGCTCACGTTCTTGCAGAAGATTTGCAGAATGCCAGAAACAGAGCATCTAAGTCACTACCTCATCTCTGCCTCTGGCTGTGGAGAGTGATGCCAAATGGCATTTGCCTGCCTCCCAGGAGAATCGGGTAGGTGACGTGCCTGCAAGGAGTCCATGTGGTTTTGCCTGGTAGAAGATTCTACGGTTCCAGAGGCTGCCTACCTCCAAACAGAATTCTGAATGAGTACAGGGCAGTGGCAGAACGTTTGCAAGCACTGTCCAGAAAAATATGAAGTCTTATTCCACTTTGCTTTGGGATGCACATGCGTGTACATTCATGAGTATGCCCTCTTGCTTTTTTTTAAAAAACTAGAACTTTTAGGAAGTTTTTCTCAGTACAAAATAGTGAATGCCCATTATAGCAGTTTAGAAAATACCAGTGAGCAAGAATAAAAAAATAAAAATTACCCCTACCCCATCCTCCAAAGATAACCACTAGGACACCCCAGTTTTAGTCTCTATCCCCAGTTACTTTCCTATGGCTGCATATGCTTTTTATAATGAAAATGAGATTGTATCAAAGCAACTGTAACTAGAAGACGTAGTTAAAGGATACACAAAATTAAAAGATGTGATGTAGGTATCCATAATCCCAGTTTTCAAGATATACTACAAAGCTGTAGGAGTCAGAAGTATAGGCACAAAAATAGACACATGGCTCAATGGAACAGAATGCAGAGCCCAGAAACAAACCCATGCATTTATGGTAAATTAATCTATAAGGGAAGAGACAAGAATATGTAATGGGGAAAAGACAGTCTCTTCAACAAATGATGCTAGGAAAACTGGACAGTTACATACAAAGGGTTGAAACTGGATCACCACACCATTCACAAAAATCATCTCAAAATGGATAAGGAACTAAATGTGAGACCTAAAACAAAAAAAGCTCCTAAAAGAAAACACAGGCAGTAATCTCTCAGCCATCACCCTTAGTAATGTATTTATGGATATGTTTCCTCAGGCAAGGGAAACAAAAGCAAAAATAAACTACTGAGACTACATCAAACTAAAAAGCTTCTGCAAAAGAAGCCATCAACAAGATGAAAAGGCAATCTACCGAATGGGAGAAAATCTTTGCAAAAGATATATCTGATAAGGAGTTAATATCCCAAATATATAAAGAACGTATATAACTCAACACCAGAAAAACAAATAATCCAATTAAAAAATGGGCAGAAGACCTTAATAGACATTTTTCCAGAGAAGACAGGCAGATGGCCAACAGACACATGGAAAGATGCTCAAAATCACTCATCATCGGGGAGATGCAAATCAAAACCATAGTGAGATGCCGCCGCACGCCGTCAGAGTGGCTAAAATCAGAAAGACAAGAAATAAGTGTTGGTGAGGATGTGGAGAAGAGGGAACCCTTGTGCATTGTTGGTGGGAATGAAAATTGGTGCAGCCACTATGGAAAACAGTATGGAGAGTCCTCAAAAAAACAAAAATGGAACTACCATACAATCCAGCAATTCTGCTTCTGGAAATTTAACCAGAGAAAATGAAAACACTAGTTTGAAAAGCTGTCTACACCCCTATGTTTCTGCAGCATTATTTACCATAGCCAAGAGATGGAAGCAACCCAAGTGTCCATCGATGGATGAATGGATAAAGAAGAAATGGCATATGTATACAATGGACTATTCCTCAGTCATAAAAAAGAATGAAATCTTGCCATTTGTGACAACATAGATGTAATTTTAGGGTACTAGGACGAGTGAAATAAACCAGACAGAAAAAGACAAATGCCATAGGATTTCACTTATATGGGGTATCTAAAAAACAAAACAAATGAACAAACAAAACAAACAGGCTAATATGTACAGAAAAGAAAATGTTGGTTATGGGGTGTGGGGAGGGGATGTGTAGGGTGGGCAGGCAAATAGATTAAGGGGATCACAAGGTATAAACTTCCAGCTATAAAATAAGTAACTCATGAGGATGCAATGCACAGCATAAGGAACATGATATTGTAAGAACTTCGCATAATGACACATGTTAACTGGATTTATCATGGGGGTCATTTCACAATGTGTAAAAACATTGAATCACTATGATGTGCACCTGAAATGAATAGGATGTAGTATGTCAATTATACTTCAATAAAAAAATGAGATTGTATTGTACATGGTGTTTTACAATTGGCTTCTTTTATTTAACATATAGCTGTCTTTGCATGTCATTAAAGATTTTTCTATACCAGTGATTTTCGTTGTCCTTTGTGTTTGGAGCACACTTTCAAGTCCTATAATTTTCGGCAACACGTTTGAAGAAATTAAAAAGACTCTAGCTACTGAATGTAAGAACGTCTTTCACTGTCAAAACATCCGCCATTTTCCCACTATTTGTCTGACGCCCCCCTTTAGAACCATGTCCTTCCTTGCTTGAGTAGAACTTTTGGCTGCTCCCACTACCGTACACTCGTATCCTGAAAAGGCAAAATTGAGCACTTTCCCATAAACATTCTGAGCTTTTTATTTATTCCTCACAGCAGGAAGCCCTCTCCTCTGCTCTGTGTGACCCCCTCCGCTCCGTGTTCCATTTGTATACGCGTGTGCATTCCGTGGCCAATCGGAACCGGGCTGTGTGGCTCTGTTCTCCACCGTCATGTTTAGCGGTGGCGTACTTGCCCGCGTAGTTGTGTGTCATGATTTGTTAACCACTCTCCTATGACATGAAAGGGACCTGTAGGTGGTTTTTGCTCTGTCATTTTTACAAGCAGTGATGTGATGCAAGGGAGTTCCTCGTTGTTAAATGTTTACATCCCGCAGAAGCTACAGTGAGCTGGATCCCTCTTTTGTTTAGTTCCAGACATATTTAAATTTTATTATCAGTTAGTTTTATTA